GGACAGAGAATGGGTTTTTGAGGCAAGCATGACTGGCTTCAGCCCCAGCTCTGCCATAACAGACCCGGTCTCAACCTAGTTGCCCACACAATGGGAAGTCTCTTCCACCTCCAAGGGTGTTGTTTTGAGAGCCAAGTGAGATACGGTGATGTAGAGGCATCTATTCGGATCTGACACAGTAAATGTTTAATAGATGCGCATTTTCATTTCCTTCCTCCTGTGAATGGGTTGGTGTTGGTGCTCCATACAGCCAGGCCTGGGCTGGCACTGTGGTGTGGCGGCTCGGACAGGCCACCACCGCGCACAACGGGTTTGTTCCCAGAGCTCTTTGGAGGACCTCAAAGCCACCTGTTACCCTGAGGAGCTGGCAGATCTGGGATTCCCAGCTAACTCCCTAGTCCCAGACCCTGTTCCGAGGCCCAGGACACGAGGTGGTGTGGGAACTGCACACCCGGCCTGAGCGCCACGCGCGTCCCGTATGCTCGGCCCTCGTGGTTAAGGGGAGCGGAGAGCTCAGGAATCCCATAGGAACGGTTCTGCAGTGATGAGAACGGACTTAGGCCATGGACAGCATGGAAAGTTACCAGAAAAATCCAAGAGTTACCGTGGCAGAGGAGAGACGGAGATGCAGGGGAGCAGGAGGGCAGGGGCACAGAGGCCAGCCACGGGGGGAGACGGGAGCCCTTCCTTCACGTCACCGGCCTTGGGGGGTCCCAGCCTCTCTTCTGTTCCTGGCAGGGTCCAGAAAGGGCGACCTTGTGCGAAGCAGGACATGCTGGCTTACGGAAGCCGTCCATGCCCTGGCCAGCGCCGCCTGCTCAAAATCGAGGAGGTGGCGCTGCCATCTTCATCACCTACCTCCAAAGGCCTGAGCAAGTGTCGCCTTGGCAGGACCGTTCTGGCAAGGCTGGACTAGGCCTGGCTCGGCACAAAGCCGGTGTCACAAACCCACCATCTTCAGGGGTCAGTGGGCCGGGGCCACGTGCAGCTGGCTGGGTGAGATGCCTCCTAAGGCACCCACCTGAGCGTTCTTGATACAGTGACGCGGTTTTACTGCTGTTTTCCTCTTTGTTCTTCTTTTTATTTATTCACATCAATCACTGCATGTCATTACACATACAGAATGAATTTCCCAGCATGAGTACACTGTCAGTGAGTCCAGTCAAAGGTGTCCCACTTACGTTGTCACCCATTTTTCATGTTGGTGTCCTTAAATGTTTTGCTTTTCCTCCTTGACTCCTTCCCTCTCACCCTTCCCCATGTTGCACCCTCCTCCCACATTGTCTCTAGTATCAACAGTTAATCTCCATGCCCTTTTTTTTTTAAGGATTATTTATTTATTATTTTTAGTTTGCTATAGGGCACGTGTGCTCACCAGAAGAGACAGAGAGAGCGAGTGAGGGGGAAAGTAAGAGAGCAAACTGCCAGGTCTGGGACTCAAACCACAGTTGGCCATGTGGGAGTCCTGTGCCCCAATCACCAGGCCACCTGTTGGCGCTGGTCTCCATGCTTTTATACCTTCCAATCTCTCCATTTCTGCTATAGGGTGCAGAGAGTTCTAACCTCGCAGGAATGTCAGCCCCATCCTTTGGAATGTCTGCACTCTACATTGACTGGGGACGTACAGTGCCTCTCTTTCACAGTCTGGCTCGCTTCGCTTAGTAGTCAATCTTCCATATTCGTCCACTATCAAATGTCAAGGTCTTGTTTTACAGAGCTGAGCAGCATTCCATACTGTGTATGTGCCACACTTTTTCAATCCATTCATCTGTGTGGACAGTTGGTTCCGTGTTTTAGCAATTGTGAATAATGCCATGATAAACATGGATGTGCAAGCATTTTCCCTACTGAGTGTTCTCTTCTTAGCGAGAAGTCATCCCCCAGGGGTGATGGCCATGCCACAATTCCTTCTCCTCCATTCTCCTCTCGGGACTTTGGACACGCATGCATGTGCACCTGGCGTGACTCTTAAGCCACCAGGTCCAGGACTCAAACTGGACTGGGTCAACTACATGGGAGTCCAGCAACATACAATCACACTCTCTGCTGGTCCTCTAACTTTATTGTTAATGGAACTTTTTTTGTTTCAGTAGCAGAGCTCATTAAGTTCATATGAGATATTTGCTCCCCATCAGGAAACACGATCTTGCAAAACACCATCTTGGTGGACTCGATTTATGTCACGATCTTCCTGTCCTTGGCTGGCAACTGTAAAACAGGAAACCAAACGCTACAGAAGGTACCATAAACAGTGCGCAGGGGCAGCTCTCCTGCCGCAGCCTCTGCTCTTCTCGGAACTGGCCTTCATCCAGAGTGACTCCGTCAACTTGTTCACAGAACCCTGAGGGGCGAGGGAGGGGCAGGGGGTTTATCCACAAGAACCAACTTTAGGCCCCTCGATCCTTGTCCAGCGTATGCTAACACTGTGTGACAGGGTCCTTGTGGGAACCCTCAGGGACATGGCCTAAAGCCGTTGCCTGGATTTAGTGGACAGGAAGCCTTCAGAAGGCGCAGGACTGCGTGCTGGGCAGAAGCACCTCCCCTCTCTTACCCCACGGGGAGGCCAGAGCTGACCTGCGGTGCCAGAGCTGACCTGGGATCTGCTTCCCCTCTCGATAATAAAGAGGAGCCGTCACAGCGACTGAGATGAAGGGAAAGGCCCACAGGGACGGTTAGCACCGGGCGCCACCTTGTGGTGACATGTGCTAACCTCAGGCCCATGCCAGGACCCCAAGGTTGAAACCCCTGAGGCTTCCTGAAGAGGAGCCAGCGCTGAGCTGTGTCCACCATCCAAATGTGCTGCTCCCCGCAGTAATCACGGGACAGGCTATCGTCTGGGGAAATACGGAACAGTGGGGTAGACAGAACGTAACTAACAGTTCTACCAAACACAACGCTCCACGCGAATGAGCCCGTGGCAAGTGGCGGAGACATGGCGGACGGCGGAGACATGGCGGGCGGCAGAGACATGGTGGACGGCGGAGACATGGCGGACAGTGGAGACATGGCAGGCGGCGGAAACATGGCGGGCGGCGGAGACATGGTGGGCGGCG